ATTTATACAATTTCATATAAATATCAAGTACATTTCACATAAAATCTTAATATTTTAAATGTTGTTGCTGACCTAATTGTCTCTTTCTTAAAAACTAGTCCCCCCCAAAAAAAAAAAAAGAGTCTAGGAACTCTATCTGTCCATTTCAAGGGCTCTTAATTACGGGCTTCGGAAATATTAACATGCTAGAAAATCAAGGGCCATTAATTCGGTGGGCTAAAATGGGCTTTAATTTTTTTGTCAAGAGATAACAGGATGGGCCATGGGTCCAGCATCCTGAAAATTTGGAAACCGATGCAAGTGAATAAGTATTGCAGATTTGCACTGAAAGGGTTAATATTCTAGAAATTGATACTCAGAGGTACCTAGACTACTTGTACTATGAATAACCAAAAAGAGAAACGATTAGATGTCAACTGAATGTCTCAGGAAAAAAGAATGAATCTTGGAAAACTGATAATTACGAAGTTTTGAAACATTAGCAATAGCTTATAAAAATCCATTTGATCCGTCAGGTCAATCTTAATTCAACCAGTAAAAATGGATTAGAGTTTACATATCTCAAGTAAATAACTTGTATTATCAACTTATATGAGTCACGGGTTGAGTTAAGGTTAACATGTGGATTGATGGGTTGACCCATTTATTTTATTTTTTATTTTTTTTTGGTTTCCCGTCCAGTATCCGAGGCTTCGCTCCGACTACTCCAGACTTGACCAACTGTGGCGCACCAGAATAGTGGGTGGGTCTCCCAACGAATTATTTTATTTTTTATTATTTTTTTAAAATATTATACTTATTAATTATTCTTAATTAATTTTCCTATTAATAACTTCTTCCATTAATTCATACTCTCTAATTTCTAGAGAAAAAAAAATTATGATGAATTTGATCTAATTATCCAAGTATCATTTTTTTTTTGGGTATTAACAATTACCTACGTATCATGAATGAAATTATAATGCAACTAAAAATATTAAAAGATGTGATGTTATGACATAAACATAATAATTTAGTAAAAGATATTCTTGGAAGAGCAATTTCATCATTAAAAAAATGACTTAAATTACTTAATAATGTTTCAAAATGATTATAAAATTAAAACTTTATTTTTCAAAAAATTTAAATATTTTATGTTTAATATTATTATTGTTAATCAATTTATTACTATTTATAACTTTATGATTTTTTTCTTAATTTAATTGTTTATGGTTGAGACTATAAAATACTTAGTTTTAATAAATCACAATA